CCCAGTGCTGGTGTGGCAAGTGGTCCTCCTGTGTCTCAGCTGGATCTACTGCGGTGGAGTCCAAGTCCGATCGGAACCGAGCTACTTTGTCCGCCAAGAATTGAGCATAATCCTCAGCCCTACCCTGCAAGGGGTCTCCCGCATCCCTCCTATTGAGGAGGGAGCGGGTTATCCTAAACAGGGCGGCTGGGCGTGACTCGGCGGACGCAACCAAGGCAGAAATATATGATCTTTTTGCGGTTCTTAATGCTCTGACATAGTCCTTGGTGCAGGTAGTCAAGAGTGCTCGGTTCGCCTCGGACCTATCGGACCTCCACTGGTGCTCTAGGCATCTCCTCCGGCGTTTCTTCTCCCGGAGTTCCTCGGTAAACCAGGGAGCTCTCCGGGATCCACTGACCCGGAGGGGCCGTAGTGGCGCAATCCGGTCGAGAGACTCCGACGCTTCCCTGAGAATGGGCTCCAGCATGAGCCTGAAAGCTCCGATTCTGGTCCTGGTGACTGACCCAGATTGGATCCTGGAACTTCATTCCATCTTGTGTCTGTTAGCTCCCAGTTCTTCCTATTGCCGTTAGATAGTGACAAAAGCAATTATAGTAGGGAGGTCCTTGTTTCATTCTTAACCATGAACCAGCACTGTCCGCTGTCAACTCGTAAAGCTTTCTTGACCTGCTCCCGAGTTGCCATAGGCAGGGCGGGGTGAATCGAGCCTTGCAGCTGCATCAAGGAATTTGCACCTCAGTCAAAACAAAACACATCCTACCCTGCCAAAGTCAAGGACATCTCCACAGAAACCAGTAAGATCCAGAAGGAATGACTTCCACGACCTGTGAAATTGCTTTGTTGGGGAATGTGACTGATGATACACCTTGGGGGGAGGGGGAAACAGGGTCAGAGGCAAGGCGTGAACTGGGTGAAGTCAGAGTTGGCTTCACTTGGTTTGTGCCGACATGGCGCTCCTAATAAAAAAATGGATTTTTCTTGAAACTTGGTTTAAGGCTCCTGCTTTTATTAGGGCATTGGTCAGAACCCTGACTGTCTTCTTTGTTGTATATTACTTTATGGTAAAGACAATGAATATTTTACATAAAATAATCTTCTGAAAGAATTGACTAGCTTGATCATGTGGATTTACACAACAGCTTTTTCCTGCAAAAATGCCACAGATATTTAAACATTTTATCACTGTAGCATAGAGGTTTGCAGTAAACCAGGGTTACACCAAAAGGATAACCTGTGCAGGGATCTCATACAGCAAATCTTGTTCATACATATTTGCATCCCAAGCTCTGAGTCACATGCCTAATATTTCTTCACTCATCTTCCATCACAGCAAGTGCCCATGCCCCAGGGGTGGGTTTCAACCGGTTCGTGATGGTCCCTGCGAACCGGTTGGCCGGCGAACCTGGAAGTAAGTAACTTCCGGGAACGTCGAAGGGTGCGCGCGCCCGCCCGCAGTCCTTACCCGGTTTTGACGAGTTCTGCACTTCTACGCATGTGCAGGACGCATACAGCGCCTGCGCGATCCTCCAGGAGTAGCTGGAGCGTCACGCAGACGCTAGTACGCATGCGTACACCGCGCGCGTGCACGAGGACGCCGCCGGCCCCGTTCCAACCGAACCAGTTGGAACGGGGCGAGAAACCCACCCCTACCATGCTCTGACAATTGATTACTAGCTTTCTATGAATAAATCAAGCTACAAATGGTTCTCTTTTTGGACTGGCAACTAGGACATTAAATGAAGAAGTTGCTAAGTTAAACTACCACCTTGCTTAGGATCTTACTTCAGCTTTCTTCACTTTACCAACCTGGGAAGATCATAAAAGTGAGGATTAATTGTAAAACTACTGGTAAAAGTTTGGCACAAAAGTCTTCATTGCAATTGGTTGCTAAACAAGGCACTCCCTAAGTTTATTGCTTGTTGTTAAACATCTACAATATATTTTACATGATATAATCTCTAGTACTAATTTCTGCAATGATGTCAGACCTGGGAGCCATCTTTTACTTTGGGCCTTCAAGCCTGCCACATTTTCTACTGTGGGAAAATGGGAGGGGGATTATATGGAGTGTGGGAGATATATAGTCTAAATAACATTCCTTTCTCAGAGAGTCAAGGATACTTTGCCGTGCAGCTGCGATGGTGTGACTGGGAGGCATCTCCAGTTTGGACGGTGCATTGATTGGGCCATGCAATGGACATGTGGGTGCAGGGCAGGGACTTGAACATTCACTTGGGTGGGGAAAACCTGGAAGCTTTCAGATTCGGGTTTTCCCAGATGTGCCAATATGACATCTCTAATAAAGTGGAACTTTGTCGAAACTCAAGCCTCGGAATCTCCTTTCGTTGGGGGTGTTACTGGGAACCCTGAGAAATTAAATGTTAATGTTTTTACTATAAATAAAGATATAGATGTTATAAGTGGCCATTTTAAGGATTAATGTGGTTTTCTTTGCTTGGGCCTTTCAGTTTTCACCCTCATCATACCTCAGTTCAATGAGACACTGAAATCTTTTGCTGTCACCCCCTGGCCATTAGAGCCAGTCAGCTATCTTTCTTTCATGGAATTCGAGTTCACATTTCGACCAGATGCAGCAAATGGTGTCCTGATGTATAGTTACGATACAGGCAGCAAAGACTTTCTCTCCATTTGCATTGTGGACAGCTATGTGGAATTCAGGTTTGATTGCGGCTCAGGAACTGCTATTATCAGGTAAACATTTTTTTTTTTAAAGTATTTGTCCATGGCATTTCTTATTCCAATTCTTTCCCATAAGGATCATTCAAAACAGTAGGTAATTAAAGGGAACAATTTTTAATTTGATGAAATCCAAAAACCAAATTTGAGGGACGTGGTGACTCAGTGGCTAAGATGCTGAGCTTGTCGATCAGAAGGTTGGCAGTTCAGCAGTTCGAATCCCTAGCGCCGTGTAATGGGATGAGCTCCCGTTACTTGTCCCAGCTTCTGCCAACCTAACAGTTCGAAAGCACGTAGAAAATGCAAATAGAAAAATAGGAACCACCTTTGGTGGGAAGGTAACAGTGCTCCATGCGTCCTCAGTGTTTAGACATGCCGGCCACATGACCATGGAAAAGTCTTTGGGCAGTGCTAGCTCTTCGGCTTTGAAATGGAGATGAGCAGAGCCCCTAGAGTAGGAAACGTCTACTATGCATTTGTGGGGGAACCTTTAACTTTACCTTAAAAACCAAATGTACTAAGGCACATGTATTATGGATCAGGTTTTCATAATTTGTTCCATAAGTGATCAGTAGCTTTGTGGCACCCTTAATGGCTTATGGAGTGATCCGCAATCTAAATAGTTTTTTGTGATCATAGAAGTAAACATGGCTACTCAGAAAAGAAAAAGAATCACACTGATTTCAATGACGGGAAATTGTCATTGAATGGTAACCTAATTAATGAAAGCAGAAAGCATTCAGCAATTAGGACTGGCATTATAAGCAGGATATAATGTCCATATTTTTTTCATATTGCTCAAGGTCTTTATTACACATCGATCCAGTGTGATGATTACCCTAATATCTATTGATTTACCCAGGATAATTAAACCCTAACTGTTCTTACAAACATGAGGGAAAGGGCATGAATAGATAATTTGGAAAAGAAGCAGCAAAGAAATGGTCTACTGCAGTGTTTCTCAACCTTCGCTGGGGAATTTGCTGGCTGGGGAATTCTGGGAGTTAAAATCCAGACATCTTCAAGTAGCCAAGGTTGAGAAACACTGGTCTAGTGTATTGTTTTCCCAGCATTTTAAAAAAAGTATTTATACTTGGAGAAATGTTAAGAGCTCATCAATGATAAAAAGGAAAGCCTGACAGGTATTTAAAATTTAAATTTATGTATTGTTAGAATTGACATGACATTTCTGCCTCTTCTATAAAAATTTACTAAATTTAAAATGTCTGGGGGGGATTGAATTTACATCTATCTATTATATATTGGCTGTTTTTCTCTTCCTAGATTAGTGACAGTTTATAAGGATTACCTTCATACTTTTCACATTCCTCCTGTGGGAAGCCTCACACATCAATTGTGAATAACAGTCCTTTCTCAATGCCTCTTTTTATAATTAGAATTGTGCAGTGATTGGATATCCTTAGAGAATACCACATGGGCAACAAGCCCTGATACTGATTTAAATAATACAAGTTATTTAAACTATCTGTCACAATACCCCCATTTTAAGAGATCCTTCATAGCAGAACTATTATACTCTTCTTTTTTTGCTTTAGTTTTTAACATGCATAATTTAGTTCAGGATGGACAAATTTATTTTACTTTCATCAAGTTAACATTTTTTTCAGGCATAAGTTTATTTCACTTTGTTTCCTGGGGTCCACATAGGCAAACCTTCATCTGGGTGAATCAGGGATGGGGAACAATGGCCCTTTTATGACTTATGGACTTCAACTCCCATGCTGGGGCTTCGACTTCAACATGGCTGGCTGAGGAATTCTGGGAGCTGAAGTCCACAAGTCATAAAAAGGCCATCATTCCCCACCCCTGGTGTAAATAAAAAACAATCGATTTTGCATGCGGTTTTTTTAATGTATGTATTTTTTGCAATCACTTTTCCCCAATATATATGTTTTGCAATTAATTCTTCCAACCTAAGCAATAATCTTTGCAATTTTGCCTTATGATTCCATATATATATATGTGTGTGTGTGTGTGTGTATGTATGTGTGTGTATGTATGTATGTATGTGTGTGTATATATATATGTGTGTGTATGTGTGCGTGTGTTTTATTTGTGCTGATAAATAAATTTATTTATTTATTTATTTATCAGCACAAATAAAAC